GCATGTTGTGCAGCATGTATGCCTGCAGCAGGCGATAAATCTTTTTCTTGGATTAAATTCAAGGCGTTAACTGGAATATCAATCCAAAACCCTTTGGAATGAAGAATAACAGGCGGATTCTTGACTTCAACTGCTTCTAGAATTTCCGACCTTCGATTAACCTTGAAATAACCAAATACCACTATTGTTGTCTCTATTTTACCAAAGAAAGCGGGTATATCATTGACTTTATTTGCATCTAATGATGGATTTAGGCATTTAATATATTCAACCTCAATTGGATCAACGTCAGTGAAATCCCTTTGTTGAGTAATCCAGTCAACTTTTACTCTTTCAACCTTTGCAAAACATCCATCCGAATTGAATTCCGTCACCAAGTAAGGATATCCTTGATGTAAAAATATACCACCTTCATAAAGTGTGAAACTTGTTCTCAGTGCCTCAACTTCTTCAATTACAATATTACGGCCATTTGTGGTATCAACTACTGCGTAGTTGGTCTCTTCAACAGCCCTGATAGCCACATGATCAACAGGCCAAGGTAAATATCGAGGATTTGTACGATATTTGTTATCCTTATCCTTATACAATCTTTCTCTGCATAATTTAATAAATGCATTTTTTTTATTAATTGATCCATTCAGAGAAAACCAATCGATGTCAAGTTCAATATCAATTGGCCATTCAAAGGCAGCACATTGTAAATGCCTTTCCATGATAAGTTGGCTCAGGCCCAAATCCATTAAACCCTCGACACATAAATCTTCATACGTACTTTTATCACACAATTCTAAAGGGTACTTCAAGTAATGTTGATCGAGTGGTTTTGATCCAGCAACAAAAATAGCTAGACTTCCTTGCGATGTACTCCCTCTTCCTGCACGTCCAAACTGTTGATGTAAATTCAGTTTCAGCATTGGAAAACCACATGTTATTACAACGTCCAAATCCGATAAATCAATACCCAATTCTAATGCGTTTGTCGCTATAATAGCACGTAGCTTACCATTAAACATCTTTTCTTCAATTATGCGTCTATCAGATTTTGAATAACCACCTCTGTATGACATGATATCGCTTTCAGATAAGGAAGAGCCAGAAAATGTAGGATTTAATAATAAGCTTCGAATCTCTTTCATCATTAGTTCACAAACAACACGAATCGGACAGAAAACAATCACCTTTATTGTTGATAAACCATTTAGGAGCTGAAGTAGTAGTCTGGCCAGCTCCAGTATAGTATTTTCTCTTGGGACAAGGACTGAATTCAAAGAATTTGATTTTCCAAAACCAGTTGATGAAGGCGTTTGTCCTTTTTTATTCATCAAAGCGGGAGGATTCCAAACTACTAATTTCTTTTCTGAACACGGACTACCATCTTCGTATATATGGACTACCTTTTCCTTTGAAGACATCCCACAAACAGCCCTAAAATGAGATACTGGGTTCTTTATTGTTGCAGAACAGGAAATAAATTGCAAATTGTTAAGAGGATATATAGCTTGATCTTTACGTAGGTTTGTGACTATTCTCATTAATCTACTCATAACATAACTCACATGCATACCAAATGTACCCTTGTAAACATGCAATTCATCCATTACAACATATTTCAATGCCGACAAAAAATCATGCCAACTGGATCTATCAAATGAGGATCCGCTGTGGTTAGGCAAAATCGAAGCATGTATGGCGTCCGGATTCGTGAAAATAATATCTGCAAATGTCCGTATTGAACTTCTGTCTTGACCAGGAGTATCGCCATCATAGGTATCAACAATTATTTGTCTATTTTTGGTTACCGTAAGGTGCTTGATAAATTCCTGTAGATGTCTTTTCTGATCTTGCGCTAGTGCCTTAGTGGGAAATATAAAAAACGCAGTACATTCTCTCTTCTTGTGACCTTTACTAATGTTCCAAAGAATATCATTGATTATGGGTAATTGATAAATGAGGGATTTTCCAGAACTAGTTGAGGTACTAACAATGACATGGTTCTTGGAATCATTGTCAAACATCAATGCTTTCAATGCCTCTACTTGATGTAAATACAATCCATCATCAATCGCTATGTTTTTATAATTTAGGAGTGCCCTCTTTAGATCTGAATGAATTACGCTTTCACTATCTTCTTGCTTGATAGGAAGGGTACCAAACCTACCGCCTTGTGAGGGAGTCAATGTTTCAATAGCGACAATCTGGTCCTTATAGAACGGCTTCAGTTTTAATGCATTAATCATATTCTCCAACGATGGTTTTTCATCTGATGAAACAACCGTGTTGTTTTTGCCAAGGGTCACAACAGGATCCTCTAAATTTGGTGGCTCTGGGACTTTATCCTGATTGGAATCACGTAATTTCTTCATAGCCAATTCATCCTTACCGTGTCGTTCTTCCTCAGTACAAGATTGCAAAAACTCTGCTACACAACGCTTAAATTTCTCATTCCGACCAATTATTATGTTCAGAAGCTGCTTATGTGTGAGGTTTTGAAGACTAAGCTCCTTACTAGAAAGAAAAAAACCTTCACCAGGATCCACTGGTTCTGTTTTTCGTTTCTTTGCCCTTCTTCCTCCCTTAATTACCGAACCAATACCCTGGACTTTAGTATCCCTAAAGTCAAATATAAGCAACTGTTTCGAATCCGGATCACTTCTCATTTCTGCAGCTTCCTTATAAGCATCATCCATGGTACATGGCTTGGATTGGTGGTATCCTGTAGCCCAATCGAACAGAACTTTTTCCGTAAACGAAAGCATTACCTGATTTTCATCCACATATTCATATGTCACATCTCCATGGGGCAATAGGTTCGCTATAATGGCCAAGTCGAGTTTACTAATGTCTCCATTTAGTTTATGTAATAGATCATAAGTTGGTATAGTTGATCTAGAATGAGATGATAAAAATGTCAAATGGGTATTAATTTGAAAAAATTTCTTTGAAAGCCTTTGAAAGGATGACGGCCACTCTGATGTATCTATACTGGCTGGATCTTGTTCCATTCCCACTTCATTGTATATTCAGTGCACAATAAACTATTTAATCAGTATATAGCTCATAATGAAAAAGGTTTGTCATTTTTAGCATACTTTTCGACATGATTCGCGACGCAATTCTTTTGATATGCATGGGTGACAAAATAGCAAGCTTTCTCAGCAATTACGTAGTTGGTGGTCAGGTTGAATAATTTAAGGCTTAGACAGGTTAAATATATAAGATATCGATTAGATCGAGTTGATAATTCCTAATTGTTGGCATATAGAAACAATTGATAGACTATGTTTGATAAACTTAAGATTAAATCAAAGGGTTCCAAAATTGGACCAGCTTCACCAGCTGCAACTCCCGGTAAAGCACCATCGAAGAAGCAAATCTACCAATCCCGTCTGAATTTTGGTGTGAATATCGGAGCATGTTTCGTGATGGAAAAGTGGATATTTCACGAGCTATTCCCAGATGGAGCTGACTGTGAATTAGAAGCTGTAAGCAAGCAAGTCAAACAGAGTGGTGAAAAGGATGCGCAAAAGAAGTTTGAGCACCATTGGACCAACTTTATGAACGATAATGACTGGAAATGGCTACATGACCATCATGTTGATAGTGTTAGAGTGCCAATTGGCTACTGGGAAGTAGGTGGTGGCAAATATGCTAAGGGTACTAAATTCGAAAAGTATGCTAAGAGTGTATACTCGAATGCATGGGATATTTTCAAGAAGGAATTTATAGAGAAAGCTGGCAAGCACAATATTTCGGTTGTGGTTGATATTCATGGATTACCAAAGGGTGCCAATGGTTCTGACCACAGTGGTGAAAAGTCTGGTGGAGAAGCCGGATTTTGGAACTGTCAGGAATCACAGCTTTTGGTATGTGAGATGTTGGAATTTATCGCCAGTGACTTGAAGAAATATGACAATATTGCTGCTATTCAAATTGTCAACGAAGCTGAGTTTGCTAATGATCCAAAAAGACAGTCGCGTTATTATGCAGCTGGTATTTCGCTGATTCGTAAGGCAGACAGCGAGGTTCCAGTGGTTATATCTGATGGTTGGTGGCCAGATCAATGGGTCAAATGGGTCCAGGACAACCAGTCTGATGGAGAGTCTTTAGGGGTTGTAGTTGACCACCATTGCTACCGCTGTTTCTCTGATGATGACAAGAAGAAGTCCCCACAATCCATCATTGGTGACTTGGATAAAGATTTACTAACCAATCTCACCGATAACGGTAGAGGAGTAGACTTTATGGTTGGGGAATATTCTTGTGTTTTAGATGGTGATTCATGGGGAAAAGATGGAGCCAATGACAAGAGAGATGACTTGGTTGTCGATTACGGTAGACGTCAAGTAGACCTTATTTCTAAAAGGGCCGGATTCGGGTCATTCTTCTGGACTTTCAAATTCCAATCAGGAAATGGTGGCGAATGGGACTTTAGAACCATGTTTGATAAGGGCGCAATCCAACCACCTTTGTCTATAAAAGGAAAACAATTACCAGGTGAGTCTGTATTTAAGCAAAAGTTGGATAATGCATTTGGTGGCCACTCCGATTACTGGAATAAGCAAAATTCAAAAGAAAAGTACGAGCATGATAGATACAAGGATGGTTTCACTACTGCCTGGAAAGATTCATTAGAGTTTGCTAAATTTGACGGGTCTGTTATTGGTAGAACTGGTGCATGGAAGGCTGCAAGATTAGCTGAGCACATTAAAGATAAAGGTCTGCTGAAATTTATTTGGGAATGGGAACAAGGATTCGATGCTGGTTTGAAAGAATTCCTTAGTAGTTTCTAGTTTATTTATGTATATTAAATGATATGTTATATTTTTATAATTATTGTAGGATCGTGCAAAATCTGGAACCTCAAAATGACCCTCAGATTTAGATATTTGATTCTACCCATTTTCGGTTTTTTTATGACTCTTTATTGTCAATTAAAATCCAACACTAGTATAGCTCAAGCCATACATTTGAATAGAGTGTAACATCATACTTCACAGATGACGTCTAGAACAGTGAAGTTCAGATCATTGGGTGAGCTTACGTCGTTATCCTCATCGATTACAAATGATCTTATCTCAAGCACTCGTAAGATACCCAAACTTTTAGGACATCAAGTTTCGCTTATCGAGATATTCACTCATGAATCAAAGAAGTTAGAAATGTTGGGCTATTGCGATTACGAGTTAGCATTGGTAAGCTTTGATGCTTCGGTGGCGTTGTATAAATTTTGCGAGAAAGCAGTGACCATTGAGACGAAAGGGTTTCTTGATGATATAAAGGTTACTTTAGCGAGTAAAAGAAGCAAATATGAACATTTAATGGAGTCATTTTCAAGGACTCCGAAAACCGAGGACTCTAATGATACCAATGGATCTGTGGATCCATTATTAGCGAGGTTTAACAACCTTAAAAGCCCTTCGCCGCTGGAATCGGAAGATGGCCCTCAAGGATCTCATACGGAGGTTATAAACATAGACACATTTAAATACAAGGAGTTTATCAATCCGGCTGAACTACATGAATTACTTTTCCTGGAAGGTTATTCATCGAAGAGCATTTTATTGATTGATTATAGGACTAGGAAAGAATTTAATTACAATCACATAAATTATTCTGAAATAGTGAATATTGAACCCGATTGGGTCAATAGCTTGTTAGGGTCTCTGAAAGAGGCCCATGATATTCTTGACCAAACTTTAGAGGCTAGGCTAGAAATGCTACTTCCGTCAGAACAATATAAAAGGTTTTTGAAACGATTCACGTACGATTTAGTGGTTGTATATAATTTGCGTTATGGTCCGGGTATAGAAGATAGATTTATGTCACTCAAGAACCTGTTGATCAACGGGGATTCGAATGGCATTGCTGTGCAATGTCCAATTCAAAAATTAATTGATATAATAACATACAAGAACAAATATATAAGTTCAAAACTAAAACGCCATCCTTGCATTTTGGCAGGTGGTGTAAAAGCTTGGTATGATATGTTTGGAGAAAAATATATTATGAAGACTAATACTCCCCAAATTCTTGCTAGACCTGAAGCTTCATTATCAAGAGGTGGTAGTGAGTCATCTATACCTAGACGGAACAACAACAAAACTCCAGAAGAAGCAATAAACCCAGAAAGATCATCGTCACCATATCTCAAGAACTTCGGTGAATATTTATCTACGGCAAAGTCAACGAATACTCCAATATCAAATTCATTCTCACCTTCAACATTAATGGCGGCGACTACGTCTAATATAAATTCAAACACATCTTCAAGTATTCAAAATTCCACTAACTTGCGTTCTTCTTCCCTGGGAAGTTCGTTTATCGATAGTGAAAAGTTAAACTCTTCTCCGCCTCAACAGCAGAAACCAAAACTTGTCACCTCTTCTCCCAGAAGAGAATCGAATTCATCTGTATCAAACTTATCCCAAAGTTTCACCAATTCACTTAGCTCATCTAAATCTAGCTCAACTAATGAAATTCCTTTTACGTCTAAGAACAACAACACCATTAAATTCTTGGAACAGTATACCACAGGCCTCACAAATCTTGGTAATTCTTGCTACATGAATTGTATTCTTCAATGTTTAGCTGCTACTCCACAATTAACCAAATTTTTCTTTCCAAATATATCTAGCTCGTCTTTACCATCGTCCTCGTCCCTTCAATCATATCGTCAGCATATTAATGTGAACAATAAATTGGGGTCTAAGGGAATTTTAACGACAAACTTTGTTAATCTCTTGATGAATATGTTTACAAACGTTGGTAAATATTTCACCCCGACCAGTTTCAAGAAGGTAGTTGGATCATTATCTCCAGGTCAACAGTTCGCTACATTTGATCAACAAGATTGTATCGAATTTTTGAACTTCATATTAGATGGATTACATGAAGACTTAAATCAAATGCTAATTTCGGATCCTGAAGAGAAGAAAACTATCTTGGAATTGACGCCAGAACAAGAAAAAACTAGGGAATTCCTTCCTGTTAGATTGGCTTCAACTATTGAATGGGAAAGATATCTTAAGTTAAACTTTTCAATTATTGTTGATTTCTTTCAAGGTCAATACTTATCACAATTGAAGTGTTTAGAGTGTGGTTTAACATCAACGACATACAATGCATTCCTGATACTATCGTTACCAATTCCAGAAAAACTCGGTTCCCTTAAAGATGTTCTGTTACATGATTGTTTGGAAGGCTTTGTTACTACTGAATTGCTAGATGATGATAATAAATGGCACTGTCCTAGCTGCAAGAGATTTACAAAGCTGACAAAGAAGATAACCATCACTAGATTACCACAGGTATTAATCATTCACTTTAAAAGATTTAAAATTAATAACAATGGGTATTTTAATAAGCTTGATACATTCATAAATTATCCGGTTAATGATGTGTTAGATCTTACTTCTTACTGGCCCGACGTTGGTACATTAGTTAATAGTAATCTTAAGTCAAATGAAAAAATATCGAAGGAAAAGGAAAAACAGATTTTGTCGACCTTACCTACGAGAAATCAACAACCTCCATTCAGATACAAACTTTATGGTGTGGCAAATCACTTCGGTAATCTATCTACTGGACACTACACCTCCTATGTTTATAAGCAAAGTGATTCAAAAAAGACGAGGGACTGGTGTTACTTTGATGATGCTAAGGTTACTTACAATTGTAAGGAGAGTCAAGTGTTGAATAGAAATGCATACTGTTTATTTTATCAACGTATTTAGATAATACTTGTATATACTAAATAACTATAGATAATGAATTAATTAATTGATTAGTTACTCCCTCATGAAACATCGGTAACTCTGATTTTGGGATGATTTCCAATGACACCTTTACTCATACCAACCCATAACCAATCTACCTTATCTTTAGAATTTAAGTTGATCTCTCCCTTGAACCCTTCCACAAAACTTCTATCATTAACTGTGATATTAGAAGTGAAGTTTATGAATTCATTAAAAATGGCAATTGAAGACCAAAATTGAACTTTACGAAGACATGCTATTACTAAACTGGTTACCTGTCCTCCGTTAAGACAATGTATATATACTGGACCATATTCCTTGTGAATCATGAGGTTTAAGGCTTCTAATATTGCTGAATATCCTATTGGAACACCTCTCTTTTTCCCCTTACCCAGATGAGCACATTCTAAGTGCACCATTCGTATATTGTTTTCAATAGCGAAATCATATAGTTTTCTATCAGTTTCAGGCGCAATTGGACTAGGAGTCAAGGATATTATTGTTTTCAACTCTAAAGTCTTTAGAAAAGGAAAATTAATTTCTCTGGGATATGCACCTCTATACAAATTCGGCTGAACAGTGCTGAATTTCAACGGTGGAGTAAGTGGATCTGGAACTTTCCATTCCGTAGTAGAAGCCATTAGTACTTACTTGTATCAGATGTAATTCAGCGTAATTGATATCTCTAACTTTTGATATACATTTACTGATTACATAATATTAGGCTCAGAGACTATACAGCAGTATAAGAAAGCTATTATTATATTAAGTAATTAAATTATATACGACTGAAATAGAAGCTGATATTAATATGTAGAGAAGAAAAGCATTAAGAATTAAGGTCTAAAAAGTGTGAAGAATTATGCCATATTAGCCTTTTTGCAATCTTCGACATTAGTAGCGATCACATCTTCGATGGACCATCTAGGAGGTTGTCCTGGGATTTTAGATCCACCAGCGATACCACTGCTAAACTTCAAATAAACCATGTCACCAACTTCATTAAATTTAGTTAAAACGTAATCAAGATCTTCTTTGGTTAAGGCAGAACTGACACATAATCTAACTCTAGCACTACTTAACGGGGTCGCAGGATAACTGACAACCACGACAGCAATGTTCATAGAATACAAGAATCTTGATACAGCAGGCATCTTACCTGGTAAGAATAATAACAATGGAATAACTGGCGAGTCATCTGCACCGTAAACAATAAAACCCAATTTCTTCAATCCTAATCTTAAATAACGAGAGTTGAAAGCAATTCTCTTTAATCTTTCCGAGCCTTCACCTGGGTTTAAGCTACCATCAATGACACTCAATGAAGAAATAATCTGGCCTAAGACTGGAGGAGGAACACATTCGGAGTAGTTGTTGGTAATGTAATTAATTCTCAACTTATTTATCAATTCCTTTGGGCCAGCAATGTAACCACCTGTAGCACCGAACGATTTGGTAAACGTACCCATTAATAAGTCAATTCTACGCGGGTCGACAGAGAAGTAGTCACATATACCTCTACCTTCTGGACCTAAAGCACCAATAGAATGAGCTTCATCCACAAATAAATAGCATTTGTATTTCTCTTTCAAGTCTACGATTTGTGGTAAGTTACACATGTTACCTTCCATAGAGTATAACCCTTCGACGGCAATAATGATTTTCTTCCATGCACGATGAGTCCTTGGTTGACCCTGGGCAATGGAGTTCCTCAATAACTTTTCCAAGTCTCTCATATCATTATGTTTAAAGACTTTCACGGATGCTCCCGACAATCTGATACCGAATCTAATAGACGCATGGTTCAATTCATCACTTATAATCAAGCAGCTGGCATCTGCCAAAGATGCAAATAAATTTGCGTTAGTACCATAACCCTGACTGACGATGATGGCATCCTCCTGGTAAACAAAATCAGCAATCACACGTTCACATTCCTTATGCAAATCAGTTGTACCACTAAGCAGCCTTGGAGAACACCCAGAGGTACCGTAATTTTCAACAGCCTTTAAAGCATGGTCGGTACATATACCCTTGGATTGCGCAAATCCCAAGTAGTTGTAAGATGATAAATTTAAGCATTCGGTCGATGTTCCAGGATACGTATACTCGTCGTACACAAGGGTTCTATCACGGTTGAAACACTTGATGTAACGCCCTGGTGCTCCGTGAATAGGTCTGGCAAAACAGTCGTCGATTCTCAATTTCAACCGACGTACGTAGAAACTTTCAAACCCATCGTACCACGGGCCATATCCGTCTTTCTCCACCAAATGTGCGTAATCTCGTGGCTTGAATATCTTTCCAAAGAAGTCCCGAACGTGTCCAATGAGAATCAAAAGAAGATAACTGATATACGTCGTAATATAGATTATATATGGTGGCTCGTCCTCGATGGGCGTGGGTAATGGCTCTCCCACTGGGTGTTGAGAAACGTATAAGTAGTCCTTAGAAGTAAGTCTTCCATATTCTAATTCGGCTTGTTCTTCTTCTGGCCTAGTATCTTTCGCTGCGGTTGGTATTTTGGTAGACATATTATCTTGTGCTTTGGTGAATAATATGCCTGCGTTACAATTTTCCTAATCCCCAAGTTTGGTTGTTCAAATGGTACGGACTTCTTGCTGGTATCACTGGTTATTCCTGAGTATTCGTTCCTATTGATATTATTCAATACAGATGCCTGTTATACCTAATGATTGTCCGTATTAACCGTGGTCCTTTAGTATGCTAACGACTGTTGAAAACAAACTATCTAAATAGACAAAAAGTCGATAAGTTACACAAAACTAAAAAAACTGTTATTTAGCGCGTTTGGTTGTGAAAAAGTTTTAGTCTAGAGCAAACAAGACAGTAAATTCATGAATATATTGTATATTTGTATATAAAGAAAAGGTCTGATCATACGGAGTTAGTATACTATTGTATTGGCAACTAATGGCATAAAAAAAAGTGCAATTTTAGTGTTAAAATCGCCGGAAATGGCGTATAGGGGTAAATTTTTACCTGAACACTACTAGTACCAGCTCGGATCAACCATACTTCAGGATTCCGTATGATCTCAGTTCATCACCATGTAACTTCAAAACGTAGTCGCAGGCGGGGATCTCCCAGTCTATGTGGGCTATTGCTAGCACTGTAGTGTCTTTCAAGTCGTTTTCTACGATGTCGTGGCATCTGATCATAATTTGTTCTTCGTCCATGCAAGAGAAGGCTTCGTCGAGAATGAGAATTTCGGGATTTTTTATGACGGCCCTAAGGAACAACGTAAGCTTCTGGTTGGTAACGGACAACTCAGAGAAGTTGTCGTTCGCATGGACCGCAAGAACGTCGTCGAATTTGTCGAGAAGGGTTAGGGCATGGGGAGTGAGCAGTTCTTTGGGTGCAATAAACGTGAAATTTGAGTTGGCGACGTTTGGGACTAGGCCGTTCATGATGACCTGCATCATAGTCTTGTTTCCGGGAACTAGAGCGTGGAGTTCGGGTGAAGAGATACCTATCTTGTCGTTGACGTCAAAAAATGACACTCCGTTTCCGGTTTTCCTGAGGACACCGTCTATGCTCAACACTGATCTCCATGACTGCGGATGGTCGGCTGTGATCAACGAGAGCAACGTAGTCTTTCCGGTACCGTTATCTCCCAAGATACGCCATTTCGACCCGCGAGGGATTTTCCAGTCAAAGTTGGTGAATATGGGCAAATCTTTGTAGACAACCGATGCATTGTTGAATTCTATGTGGGGAGTTTCGCCAGAAGCACATAAAGTCTCGTTAGAGACTGGAGCACTTTTCTTATTTTTCAGCTTTATTTCGTGTTGGTGATGGATAGAAGTGGCAGACTTCAATTCCTCTTCGAGAAGAGGAAGCATATCTTCCTTAGCACCTGATATTTTTAATCCATCCTCTGTAGTGACATAGCCAACATGGGTAAGCCATTCTGGAATGTCATCCTGGACTCTCAATCCTAAAACAACACTCGTGTTCAAGTCCTGGCTGACTCTATGTAACGAATTGGATACTAACTTGGTTGCTTGAGGGTCCAATCCCAAAAACGGATCATCGATTATGAACAAGCTGGGCTTGTTAATTAATGCTTTCGCTAACCTTGCCCTTCTCAATTGTCCATTAGATAACGAGTTAATCCACTTTGTCGACAAGTGATGCAAGTTGAATAAATCCAAAAGTTGATTCACGAAATCTTCCTTCACACCGGACGTCGTATTACTATTATAATTATTAGCACCAGTAATATAATTGCGGACAGAATTGACATCATCCGACATCTCCAAGCTTCCCTTGTAGGAATAAGATTCATATCTAGCGGATAAGTGCACTTTATCCAACCCTGAAGCTTCCTTGAAATTCAAAAATTGGATTTGGTCGTATTTGTAGCTGTCCAGCATAAACGGATATGTTCTGGAAAGTGGAGGATACGGAATATACTTTCCCGATACCACACCTAAGAATTGCGATTTTGCTGGCCCTGTTATTGACCATAACGATGGTTTATTCTCCTTATTAAGTCTGAAAATTTCAAATTTTTCAATAGGCTTTCTAAAGACATAATCTTTCAAATCCAGCGTTTTTTTTCCACTGTTCTTGAAAAACCCATCCTTAATTCTCAATAAACATTGGTCCACCTGCGAGTTAAACAACCTTACTGTAGGTATCATTATCCAATGCTATATGATGTTGTTCTAACAGTTAGGTCTATAATCGTTCAATATGCTGATATTCATCCGGACTATCGGACTCAAAATCGCACTAATTGCAAAATTTCAGATCCACGATCTGACTCATGGTTCATTCTAACCAAGTTTAAAGTAAGTGAATCCCGATATCTATATATTATGAACTATCGTTTCCATTGTTTAGGTAAATAAGTAGAATGAACTTTTGTTTGAAGACATGGCCCGGTCAAGGGTTCTTCCATACCATCTTGATGCCCCGATCCTATTGATGCCATTGATGCTACGATTCTACGATCCAGAATTTTATCGATTTATAATGGATGGCAATATCTTCCAGAACATTTTGACCCATTTCTGACCGATATATGCTAATATAATGTTGCCTTATAACACATTCATTAGACCTGACCCAATGTATGGTATACTGCATATAGATTCGTAGTAGTCAGTATCATCATCAAAGGGATTATTGCCATGATCATATTTTCAACTACCACAAGCTTAGACGGACAAAAATGGAATTCTACGATCCAATTGTAGCACAGGAAGAGCTTCCTAACACGGAAGGAGCTAATGACAACAAGACTGAAGAAGCAGTTCACAAATTAGAAGATGAAATTGATCAAGCATACACGGCAGTCGAGGCGAGGTTTGCTGGATTATGGTCAAGTGCATCCAAGAATGCGAACGAATTGCAAGAGAAATACAAGTTGGAAGAACACAAGAATCAATTACTTGAGCAATTGAGTTCTGCGAAGACGAATATTAATAACAAGGCAAAGGTGACGGAGAATTTGGGACAAATCGAAGAGCAGTTGAAGGCATTATCGGGACATATGCCAGACGTTGATTTGAAAAACTTACAACAACATGCCTCTAACACGCTCGACTCGTTGGACTCCACGTTGGAACTGGTTGAAAAACAAGCTGGCAAATACGTCACACAGCTTACGTCTTTCTTTTCAGGTATGGTGTCTGTGAACCCAGATGTGCAACCAGGCGAGTCAACAGAAACGTTATTCAAGACACCATTGAACTCCAAAGAAAACTATGGAACGTCTCGTTATGACAACGACTTATATAACTTACATACCACCGCTTCGATATACACGTCCGACGAAGCAGACAGCGACGAAGAAATTAAAAAATTCCATGCCGATGCAAAAACAGATGAGATTTCTAAGTTACTCGAACACTATCCAAATACCCTTACCAAATTGATGAACGATTTAGTGCCCGTGAAAATCTCGTACGAATTATTCTGGTATCGTTATTTCAAGGCCGAGACCAAGCTTAAAGAGTCTGAGAAAAAGAGAAAAGAATTGTTAAAGAGGAAAGAAAATAAAGACACCAACGACAATGGCGATGATGACGAAGAATTCACTTGGGATGATGAAGAAGAAGACGTCGTTGACGTTGCTAAAGAAGCCCAAAACGAACAAGATGCAAAATCGGCAAAAGATGAGGACTCGGTTCAAAAGTCGTCAAAGGATTCTGACAAGAAGACTAGCCAGGAAGACGATGATGATGATGATGATGATGACGACTGGGAATAGTGCTATACTTAGTTTACTCTATAGTTATAACGAAATATATTGTAATAGTCATTTTTGGCAATTTGTTGTGTACTGCACAAAACATGTGATTAAAATCAATTTTAAGGAAGGAAACACCATCGGGTATTGAATGTAGTGGATAAGAGTCAGTATATACTGCAGTCTTGTTCATATATTTAGAGTCTTTATCAGTGTCCAGGATATTTAGTTGGTATTTTGGTTGATATCATTTGTTAAACGAATTCTTTACACATCAATTAAGAACTGAGGACGTTTCAAATTCTGACACAAGGCAGCCTCTCGTTGGAAATATACTAAATGTCTAATTTACATATTCTGTTGCCACTTCCACCGAAACACAGTTACTTTATACCCAATTTCGGTCCCAAGAATCATATTCCACCGGCAAGTAATTCCAATACTTCCAATACAGTTGGAACTAATCCCAACAATCAATCCAATAGTCAAACCAATAGTCAAACCAATAACAATAACCAGTCGAATATGAACAAAGCATCGCAGAAGCAAGGCGGTTTTCCACTCAACTTCAACCAGCCTTCATCCACAACTCAGAACACGATAGGGCAGTTTTCACCTAATATTTTTACCACTCGTCGGGTGTGGGTTAAAAAGACTCAAGGTACTCCAACCACTATAATAGTTCATCAAAATGATATAGTAGATGATTTGAAACAGGCGGTGGTTAATAAGTTTCCAAATTCATTGGCACGAGAAATTGATCCGGCCGACTTGGTAATAAAAATGGATTTGCTGGCTAGACAAACAATTAATGTTGCGTCTAATACGCAAAATTTATCTACTAACAAAAAGACTACATATCCAACTAAGTCTGTCTCACTGGCATCACCAGATATTGTTAAAAGCATTAAATCGCCAATTGCTAGTATGTCTTCGGGAACTCAAACTCAACTGCAGACAAATCCATACAGCTACATCAACCTAGAGCCTGATCAGAATGTTTGGAACATATTAGACACTTATTATCCACATGGTATGGGTATGCAAGAGGCTTTCATAGCTGAAGCTCCCTACGTAGAACCTATGTCTAACAGAAGCAGTTTCAATGCTGGTTATCTGAATAATTATAGCCATAGACAGCCGTACACACAAGTATCACAACAGCAAATGCGAAACCCATCCCAGGTATCGAATACTAGCCAGTCATATCACCAACCTAAACCACAGTACATGCATCAAAGTAACCCAATCGCGCAAAATTTGAACACAATTCATGATAAATCAGTCTCTCCAGCTTCAGCTGCTAATGGTAGACAATCACCATTGTCGTATGGTACCAATGTTCATAGAAGGTCTCAATCGAACCCACTACAATCGCCTTCATCTTCTAGTACTAATGTTACGAGTCAAAACAATAATGAAAATTCGCAACCAGTTTTATTGTTACCAAAGAATTTTTCACTTGCTACAAATGGAAATAATTCACAATCTGCTAATCCATTTCTTAATAAAAAGAGACTTTCTTTGGATGAAAACTTTGTCCAAAAGAGTAGACAAGAGCCTACAGATGGGTCTCCAGCTGGCTCAAATAATAATTTGACCAATATTGGAATGGGAATTCATAGCGGATCACATTCGGTTCCAGAAACCTTTGAGTTAGCTTCGAAAAATACAGATTCCAATGACGTAATAAAATTAGAAGGAGGAAGTAGTACTGAACCCGAAAGCCTTAATCAGAAATCAGATATTTCGAATCAAGTTACTAAGGATGCCGATAGACTAAGTATTTCACCTTCACCATCGATTGATGAATCAACTTCCAACAAGCAAAATAATTTGAGTTTGGACCAGATTCTCAGTGGTGAAAATCACGATAATCAGAGACCCAAAACGCCGAAAGGTATTGAAACACCTGGAGCTTTTAAGTCATCTGATTATATGGCAAAAGCGAAGAATTCTAATTCAGTTCTGGCCAAAGGTGTGAAATCGTCAAAGGTTTCTACTGACACAGTATTGCCATCTATTTCAGTTTTGGTAGTTGAAGATAATGCCATCAACCAAGCAATTTTGGGGGCATTCTTGAGAAAGTACAAAATACGGTACCAGATTGCCAAAAATGGGCAAGAAGCGGTTGACAAATGGAGGACAGGTGGCTTCCATTTGGTTTTAATGGATATCCAATTGCCAGTCAAGTCGGGAATTGAAGCTACCAAGGAAATTCGTCACTTAGAAAAAATAAACAAGATTGGTGTTTTTGCCCAAAACGAACTCTCTGCCTCTACGTATCCTAATTCGGAGAAATTGGAATTGAAAGAAAACGAAAAATTGGACTTGACTGTTTTTAGATCGCCTGTTATTATCGTCGCCCTAACTGCTTCATCCAACTCATCGGTGGACAGAAAAAACGCTCTTAGGGCCGGGTGTAATGATTATTTGACTAAGCCTGTAAATTTAGTGTGGTTACAGAACAAGATCACTGAGTGGGGGTGTATGCAGACATTGATTGACTTTGATGGATGGAAAGCCAAAAGATCTGTGAACAGATAGAGTTTCAATGAAGCTTCAGGAAGTTCTAAATAATGGCATTCTTCGAACTAATTAACCTAATATTTATACATTAATATTACAGCTATATACACTTATAATACACTTATAATATAATTATAATTCACTTTATTCAATCCTTTGACTGTAGTCGATAAAATATCGTTAGTCGTGCGCGTTCTCAGTAACATCAACATCATTGAACCTCATTTATTGTTAGTACAGACCAGTTAAAAGTCATTCTATATATTTGCACTTAATCTAGTCTGGAAACCCATCCCGAACATATTCTATTATGTCTGAAGCAAATACCTCAAGCAACCAACAGGCTGCCGAAGAATCTCCTTTGAGCACGATCCTTCCGTTGGAAATTATTGATAAGTCAATAGGACATAAAATTCAAGTATTGATGACGAACGATAAGGAATTTAAAGGAACTTTGATAGGGTTTGATGATTACGTCAATATGGTTTTAGAAAACGTCGAAGAATTTGACAATGACGGTCCAAAAGGAAAGGTTATTAAGAAAATGTTGTTGAACGGAAGTCAAGTCGCTATGTTAATTCCAAGTCTCTAATTCTTCCCGTTTCTACCATTTATGTGTTGTTTTTTACGTGATACATTCCTTATAAATGGAATAGAGGCATCTTGATTAAAAGTAGGCTAATTGACGAAGGATGAAAAAAACTTACCCACGACACATTCGACATAGATAAATTCAGATAAAATGTTCTGTACTTCTATAGCACATGTATATTATAATTTGTATCGTATTACCAACTACTAATCCTCTATCAGTGTAGATACTGTGGCAAAATTTGGCGTCTTCTATCAATAGAGATGGTTTTGTGATAGTTGTACTATGATATCGCCACTCACAGATCTACAAAAATGTATAAATACTAAGGTATCTCTTTTGCCACCACCCCATATCTAAAGAACAAGAACAATGAGATTAACAATATCCAACGAACTGAATAATCAAATATTATCGGTAGACATATCAGAGTCTATGACATTGGAAGATTTCCAAGCATATATCCAAGCAGAATTCGATATTTCTCCACAAGATCAGACATTGAAGCATAATGGGAAGCCTTTGAGTGGATCAGATAAATCTTTGGAAGATTTGGGGCTTAATAATGATGACTTGGTATTGTTGGGAAAAACTAGCGTAGGGTCCACCACGGCATCCTCCGGGTCTTCTGTTACTGCCAACTCAAATAATTCCAATGCTGTGGATTTCCAAATTGAAGCCATGAGAACCCAATTTTTGAGTAACCCCCAATTGAACAGTCAGCTTCGTCAGTCAAACCCCCAATTGCATTCTACTTTGAACAATCCTGCTGAGTTCAAAAATTCGGTGATCGGATCGTTGCAGCAATTTCAAAATGGAGCTACACCAGGACTGTATAATCCTCAGCAACAGGAACAGCTAAGAAGATTACAAGACAATCCTGATGATCCAGAAAGCCAATCTCGTATTTTAGAAATGATAAGGCAGGAGCAAATAGATGAAAATATGCAATTGGCGTACGAAATTGCTCCAGAGTCGTTTACATCTGTTAATATGTTGTATATAAACATCAAAGTTAACGGAGTATTAGTGCAAGCTTTTGTCGATTCAGGTGCGCAGTCCACTATTATTTCTCCAAAGCTCGCGGATAAGTGTGGTATTTCTAGATTAATTGATAGAAGATTCGTTGGTGAAGCAAGAGGGGTTGGATCTCAAAAAATAGAAGGTAAAATACATAGTGTTCCTATTGCTATTGGTGACTCTGATACACATATTCCCTGTTCATTTATAGTAATTGATACACATGTCGATTTGTTATTTGGTTTGGATATGTTAAGAAGACACAAGTGTGTATTAGATTTGGAACGAGACGTTTTGGTTGTAGGTGGAAATATAGAAACGAAGTTTTTACATGAGCTGGAAATCCAAGCTAATCCATTTCTACCTGGCGTTGCTGGTTCAAGTGCCAGTACTGGTGGTGCTGGTGGTGCTGGTGCTGGTGGTGCTTTTGGTGGTCCGGGAATCGCCCTTGGATCAAATAGTGCAGAAAACAATAACGTTACTTCTTCGATTGTTCCAGCTAATTCTACCCCTGACCCTACGAAACAAAAAGCTCCCAATGCTGCTGCGAATGCTGCTGCGAAGAGACAAGACACAGGTAATCTGTCCTCTAAATTTAATGAAAGTGATATCAAACAATTGGTAGGCTTAGGCTTCTCCAAACAAGAAGCCGTATTTGCACTTGAACAAAGTCAAGGAAATGTTGAAGTTGCTGCGTCCCTATTATTTCAATAATACATATGTAGACGAAATCGTCATTTAGAAGAAGTTTGTAGAAAATGTCTTATAATGTTGTTCTATATAGCAGTTAATTAATCTACCTCACTATGATCTTAAACATTCAATTGAACTAGTCAAAATTCGAATTGAAAAAGCTTCTAAAGTGAAAGGTTGAGCCCTG